CCCGCCGACGGCGCGGTGTAATGCAGGGTCCACAACGCGCCGTCGGCCTCGTACTGGCCTTGGTCTTCCGCCACCGGCCGCTCGGGATCGTCCCGAGCACCACGCTGCGGAAGCGCCCATCGCCATTGATACTCGATATAGAAATGCTCTACGAAGTGCCGACCTCGCTCCGGCACCCTCCCAGGCCCCTACCAAATTCGCCTGCGCCTCACGCTGTCCGAACAGCAGGGCAATCGAGAGATGCTTGGCGCGTACCATAATCATCAGCCAATCTCCACGCCCCAGAAGCCCAACATGGGCAAGAATCGCTCCATATCTGCTGGCACGGTCGCTGGGGCTTTGCCGTAGCCGCCGTGGACTTTGGCCGCTCCTTGCAAGGGCCGCTCCAAGACCAGTTCGACGCGGTGGTCCTGGGGATAGACTGAACCGCTGCGACCGGCACCTCGCGGCTCATCCTCGACCCGGAAGCTGTGGCCTCTAGGTCGATGCTGTCCATCCGGCTCTCGACGGCAGCAAACTCCAATTCGACGCGGTCCCCTCGCCGCCGGGCCGCCGCTCAGATCCGGTGCCTTCCAAGCTACCGCTTGGCCATAGACCAGCCCCAAAGCTGCCTGCGCCAACCGCTCTCCCAAGAGCATGTTGCCGGCGGGACTGATGTGGATCAGATCCGCAAGCGGCAGGTCGAGCGCCGGCACCACGCCTATGCCCGGCGTCTGTTGCGCCACCTGCCGCTGCGCCTCGCGCACTTGGCTCCAGCGCCGGGTCGGCATCCGGATCGGCGGGTTGGTACACGCGGTTTAGCTGCACGGTGAGCACCGGCAACTCCGCGTCGGCAAGGGCCTCCCGCCAAGCGGCGACCGCTCGCTGGAACCGCTGCGCATAACTGGTCGCGTCCGCGTCCGTTCCGGCATCGCTTTCCCCTTGGTACCACAAAATCCCCCGCACCTTTCCCCCGACCTTCTCCACGCACTGCACCATATTGTCGAACAGATCCGCCGCCCCAGGCTCGCTGGGATTCCACCGAGTGAGCGGGGAGCCTCCCAACGCCGTCTGTACCAAACCCACCGGGCGCGCGAGCGTCCTTTTGAGCGTCCGCCCAAATTGCAGGTAGGGCGAGTGTCCCGGGTTGGCGGCCTCTCGGTTCACCGCGTGTTGGGTATCCGTCGATTCGTTCATCGGATGCGTCGCCAGCGCCCAGTGCTCGCTATTTCTGAACAGATGCACCCCCAGCTCCACGGGGTCTTCGTAAGGCCCGCGCCCGTAGCCCGCCGAATTGCTCTGCCCGGCAATCACCCACAAATCGCCTACTCCCAAAAAGTGCCGCATATCCCCCCGCGGCGACCACTCCCCAGCCGGATTATCCGCCGTCCGCAATCGAGTCTCTAGCCGGTAAAGCCCTCCCGCAGGGATGTGTTCCAAAACAGCTTTCCAAGCACATCCTCCGCTGTCTGCGCCGCCTGCCAGTCCAAACCGGCCGCAACAGCCACCCCTGTATCCTCCCATACCAAGCGCACCTCCACTTGGCCGGGGGTCTCAAACCTCCACCGGCCCCCCAACTCAATCCGTCCCTCCCCACGCTCGTCCTGCTGTATGATCTGCCAGTCCTCTGGCCCCTGTTCAATGATTGCACCGATTTGCTCTTCCATTGATCTCTTTCTGATAGGTAGCGTTTACTCGTCAGCACCTAATCTGCCAAACGCTCCGCTTGCCATGCAAGTTTTTTCCAATTCCCCTGGCCCTTTGTTGGTTGCCGACGACCGACCACGCCTCTACTCCTCGGTCGTCTGATGCGCGCTACGAGCCTCATTAGGGCGAGTCGCTCAAAATCGCGTGGATCGTCGGTGCGAATTAGAAAATCTCCCTCCACGCGTTGCTCTTCTCCGCAATGAGGACTACCGGCTGCCCAAGCGGTATGAACGCGTCGATTAGAAATTCCTCTTGGTCGAAAAACCGCAAGTCGTAGCGCACCCACACGGTGTCTGCGCCGACATTGCGAAACACGGCCACAAAGACTCCCTCGACTTCTGCTGTTCCCCCGAATCCCGGCTCTGGAAAAACGGCCACCAAGTCAAGCTGTCGATCGACACGCTGCCCTCCAGCCCCTCGTCCTCGACAAACTCCACCTCGCTGCGCAGCGCGTCCACCGCGCCGCTCGGTACGTCCTCTGAAGCAAAGCATCCGACCAGCAACAGCACCAGTGCGATCCCCATGCTCATGGCTTGGTCCCAACTCTCGGTTTGCGTCTGTATTTATTCGTGGTGTTCTTTAAATGCTATGAAAAAAAACCAGTTAATCCAGTGCCTAGCGCTAATCCTGATCGCCGCAGTTGCCCGCGCCGACGATCCTGAGCCCCGCTACCAAATGCCCCCCACCGAAGTCACGGCGACGCGCGCGCCCCGCGAGGGATTTGATCTGCCGCTTGCCACGACCGTGATCGCGGATGTCGGGCGCGCGCGGCCCGGGCTCTCGCTGGCCGAGTCGCTGCGTCCGGTGCCCGGGCTGTTCATCGCCAACCGTAACAACCTCTCCCAAGGCGATCGGCTTAGCGTGCGCGGCTAGGGCGCGCGCGGCCTTTGGCGTCCGCGGGATCAAGGTCTTGCTCGACGGCATCCCCTGACCATGCCCGACGGCCAGAGCCAGCTCAACAACCTCGACTTGGGGTCAACGGGCCGCATCGAGATCTTGCGTGGCCCCAGCTCTTCGCTGTACGGCAATGCGGGCGGCGGCGTGCTCGCGGCCCATACCCAAGCTCCGGTAGAGGCTGCTTGGCGCGTGGAGCCGCGCTTGATCGCCGGCAGCAATGGTCTGCTCCGCGCGCAGACGAACTTTTCGGGTCGCGTCGCTAAAACCCACGTGTTCGCCAGCTTGTACGACCTGCGCAGCGAGGGCTACCGCGACTACGCCGACGCCCGCGCCCGCGGCCTCAACGCGCGCGTTGGCCACGCCCTCACTACCCATACTGAGTTGACGCTCCTGCTGCATTTATACGTGCCTCCTTACTTGTTCAATCCGAGTTCGCTTGACGCGGAAGCCGCGCGGACCAGCCCGCGTAGCGTCCGCGGATTCGTGGTGGGGCAGGGGGCATCCAAGCAGGTGCGCCAGGGCCAAGCGGCATCCGCCTCGAATATCGCCGCCGCACGCGCCGCACCACCGCGCGTCGAGTCTCGTGCTGTACGGCGTTGGCCGCGCGCTCAAAAACCCCATTCCAGGCCGCATTGTCGAGCTCGACCGCCGCGCCACACCTCTCGGATTGCCATCCGCCGTACATCGATGGTCGCCGTCATTCGTCGTTCAGGTACAGTCGGATTAATCCGAGCTACAGTTCCCGCTTACCAGCCCCGTGAACGGACAGCCTCCATGAGTCCGATGTCGTCTTTGGCGGCACGTCGTTGAAGCCAACGATACCACGTGGAACTCCCCGTTGATTCTCGTTGCCTCCGTACAACCCTGTGAAACCGACGGCCCTGTCCGCTCAGACAAAAAAACAAAAAACAAAAATCCTGTCGCACAGCACCACTCGACTCTCATCCGGTCTGCCAGAAGAGGAAGCCGGCGAGCGCAATCCCCGCGAAGCGCAGAACGACCGGCGCTCGAACCCAGAACTTCAACGGCAGGGGGACGACCTGAATGTACGCGATAGCATGCCGAGACGACGGGGAATCACAGGACTCTGACTAGATGTGCCAACCTCACTCCGCTCCAGTGATGCGAGGGGGACGGTAGTAGTACGGCCCGGCGGCAGACCATGCGAATCCGAGCCCCAGGGTCACCATCAGCAGGCCGAAGAGCACGAGAGATGCGTGCGCTCCATCCGACCGCGTTTCCGATTGCGGAGCGCGAACAGGATGATGGCGACCTTCCACACCATGAGGACGACCAGCCCGTACCCGGCGATCCGGTGGATGATGATGAAGACCGCCTCGTCGCGCGAGCCGGAGACGAGTCCCCAGAACCCGCTGATGAACTCGACGGTCACGAAGGCCAGAATCAGTATGTTTACCCAGGGGTGCTTCACGTTCTTCTCACTCGGAGCGCAAGACCAACTGACCGTGATGCCGCCATGTTTGCACTGGTTGAACCGGATGGATTCCCGCCCCGTATCGGGGTACGGGGTGACGTTCCTTCGCGGGAATGACGACGATGAGTTTTCCCATGCGGGTGCATTTTAGAGATTGCAGCGTAGTCAAAGCTAATGTGAACAACATCCAGCTTCACCTTCTCAACAGCAGTCCGGGCTGGCATGTGCGGCAGTAGCTCTGTGATGCGCTGGTTGGCCGTTAGTCTGGCTGATTGTCGTGCCGCAGCGGGGACACGGCTCTCCTCCCCTGTTGTGTACCTTCAGGAAGTCGCGTCTCTTGCGATGAATGTCCTCGCCCATTGCCTCTCTGACCTGCCCAACTGCCTCGCGTATCACTCGCGCCGACGAGTCGAGAATCCGTTGAAGGTCGTCGTCGCTCAGGTCCCGCTTCTTGCGGAACGGGTAGATCTCGGCGTCCCATAGGATCTCGTCCACGTACGCATTGCCTATGCTGAGATAACCCTTCCTCTCGTGATGATGCCCTTGATCTCCCCGCGAAACGGACGGAGCCGCTCCTTGAACTCGCCAGGAAGGGCTCGTCGAGCGCGTCCGGCCCCATGTCTCGGCATACTGTGGAATCTCTCCAAGTTGGTCGGGCGATACGTAGTAGACGCGGCCCATCTGCCTGTCATCGATATAACGTAATTCCCGCCCATTGGACAGCGTCAGGGTGAAGCACGTCCGCTTGAAGACGCGGTCCGACGGCTCCGACCACTGGAAGCCGCCGGTGAGCATGTTGACGACCAGCAGGCGATCTCCACTCAGCGCAAGGGTCAGAAACTTGCCCGTTCGCCGGATGTCTTCGAGGGCACGCCCAGGATATCGTCCTCGAAGTTGCCCGCCATCGAGCGAAGGACGCTCGGCTTTATTACGCGAGCCGATTCCACGTTCGCGCCAACCGCGCGATCAGTGAGAAAACCCTTGACGACTTCCAGCTCAGGGGCCTCGGGCATTGGAGCACTCCCCCTAGAGTCTCTGTTTCAGAGTCGCGCGCTGCGAGCGGCGCGTCGGCCGTCTCGGCGACCGAAAGGGTGAACGAGAACGTGGAACCCTCGCCCTCGTGGCTCTCGACGCTCACCTCGCCGCCATACGCCTGCACGATGTTCTTCACGATGGCCAGTCCAAGTCCGCTGCCCTCGTTCCGTCTCGAACGCTCGACCTATAGAAGCGTCGAAGATGTGGGCAGCGATTCCGGCGGAATGCCGAGGCCGTTGTCTGATACTCGCACCTCGACGACATCGTGGTTCGTGGACGCCGAGATGTCGATCCTCCCGTTCTCCGGAGTGAACTTCAGGGCGTTGTCCAGCAGGTTGCGAACGACCTGCCGCATCCTGTCCTCCTGCGCGACGACCTCCGGCAGGGGTCCTCAGGCAGCGAAACGCGCGCCTCGATGCCCAGACCCTCGGCCACCTGGACGTACCGGCTGCCCTCCTCGCGGATAACCGACGCGATGTCCACCTGCTGGGCCTTCATGTCGGCCTGTCCGCTCTGTAGACTGGTCAGCTCAAGCAGATCGTTGACGAGGGTCGTCATCCGGTCGGCCTCGATATGATCCGTCGAACGAAATCGGCGTTGATGCTGGGGTCGTCCAGGCCTCCGTCCTCGAGCGTTTCCGCCATCGCCTTGATCGACGAGAGCGGCGTCCTCAACTCGTGCGAGACGTTGCTGACGAACTCTCGCCGCGAGGTCTCGACCTGCCGCAGCTCCGTGAGGTCGTGCAGGGTGACCAGCACGGCTCCGCCCGGCTCTTCGTCCAGCGGTAGTCGCGACGGCGCTCACCGTGCGGCGACCCTCCGTGAGTATGATCTCGGCGTACTGCGGCTCCCCGGCCTCGCGACAGGCGGCGACAAGCTGCCGGAGCTCATGGTCGTGGCCGATGGAAAACGGCGTGTCCCGATCGACGCCCGGATCGACTCCGAAGAGCGTCGCGGCCGCCCCGTTGAGGAGCTCCACGTCGCCGGACGAGTCGACGACGATCACCCCGTCGGACATGGTCTCCATAACGGCGGACAGCTTGTTTCGCTCACCCGACAGGTCGCCCATCATGCTCGTGAGCGAGGTCGCCATCCGGTTGAAGGCGGCCACGAGCTTGCCGGTATCGCCGCTCGTGTCGGTCCTGATCCGGTGGTCGAGGTCGCCGGCGTCGATGCGATCGATTCCCGCGGTCACTTCCCGTATCGATTGGGATGACCTGCTCACCGAAAGACAGGCGACTATGGCGGACGAAGCAACTGCCGCCCCGCCCACAAGGGCCATGGCCGCATTGACGGTGCCAAGACCGTCTTGGACGGCTGCGACGCCCACCCACGCCAACAGCAGGAAGCCGCAGACGAACACAACGCACCACAAGCGCAGTCTTGAGCTATTCATCCCTCAAACCGATAACCGTGCCCCCGAATCGTGATGATCCTGCGGGGCGCGCCGTCACCCTCTCCGAGCTTCTGTCGAATCCAGCGGACATGCACGTCCACGGTCCGCCGGTCTATGTTGTCCTTGCCACCCCACATCCTGTCGAGGATATCGTCCCGTGTGAACGCCTTGCCGGGGTTCCCGGCGAAGAGTGTCAGCAGGTCGAACTCCTTCGGCTTCAGCTTGACGGGAACGCCGCCGAGAGAGACCTTCCGCGCTTCCACGTCGATGCTAAGGTCGCCCGACGTGATGACTCCCCTGACGTTGGTCGATGCGGGACTCAACTCGGCACGCCGGAGCATCGCCTTGACCCGCGCGACCAGCTCCCTCATGCTGAACGGTTTGGTCATGTAGTCGTCGGCGCCCATCTCGAGGCCGAGCACCTTGTCGAGCTCCTCGGGCCTTTGCGGTGAGGCTCAGATGGGACATCCGCTCTCGCTGCGCAGGATGCGGCAGACCTGAATGCCGTCCATCGTCGGAGCAGATGTCGAGATGACCAGCTCGGCGACTCCTGCCTCGCCAACGCCATGCAGGCGCTCCCCGCCCGTCGTACCGTGACTACGCGCATACCCCTCGCGCTCCAGGTTGTACCGGAGCGGAGCGAGAGATTCTCCTCATCCTCGACGATGAGGACGGTCTTTCGGTCGAGCTTTGCGTCGGACGTCATGCTGGGACTGTCACCTGCTCCGATACAGTCTGCACACACACAGTCCTATAATATAGTTGCCGGCTTGTTTCCCACTGTAACACCGATCTGACCGCCGCAACGTACGCAGCGCCCACGGCGGCGGTGACGCCAAGGTTCCGTGGGGCTTTTGCCGTCCCCTCCCCCGGCTCCCTAAGCTCCCTCCCCTCATCCTTATTTTTACACGAATTCATCCCTGTCTGTAGACTCCGCTATTACAACCCATCGGGAAGCTGCCCGGTAGACGGGAAGAACGGCGGCCCGATAAGTATTCTCAACGGGGATGCCTTCGCGCATCCCCGTACCATTTCCCAGGGAACTGAAATGAGCGCCGCTTCCGACAGCCCCGGCAATCGAGTGCACATTTTTGTCGATTTCTGGAACTTCGAGCTTTCGATACAGACAATCTGGGAGCGACTTTCGTTCGGACTGAGTTCATACCTAGTAGACCGAAATCTTTGAAGTGACGGGCAGCATTGGGGGGCTGGATTTGCGTTCTACAACGACAGGGCGGGTTTCAAACCCGCCCCTACAAAGTCATAGTCTCGTCACCCTTCAATACTATGGTGTTGACCACTAGTACCGTGTCAACATGGTTTTGATATTATAATTCACCCTCACCCCCGTATCGAGTACGGGGCAGGCTCTAGCCCTCTCCCTTGAAGGGAGAGGGGATAAATCGGCATCTGCCTGTTCGTCATATTCAAGTTGACTGAGGAACTAGGAGACCGAAATATTTGACATGACGGAGTAATAAGGGTTAGATTTGCTTCTACAACGACAGGCGGGTTTGAACCCGCCCTACAAGTCATATTCTCGTTACCCTTCAATACTAAGATGTTGAACCACTAGGCCACCTTTTGACGGAGCAAACGGCCCGCGTCGTCATTCCCGCAACGCCTTTGGAATATCAGGGAATGCGGGTATATGGTTCTTATGATCCTAACAGTCCAAATGAGCAAAACCTGCGCAGGTGGGCCCTGAACACTCTCCGATAGCCCCGGGCGTGAACATTAGATTGACTGAAAGACGACGTAAGGCCACACAGGCCCAAAATGCCCCGGGTCTTTCGCAGGGTGTCCGCAGTGCATGCACTGCGGGCGGAAATAGCGAGCACCGAAGAAAAGGGTGTAGATACTGCCATTGCAACCGACATGATGAGGTTGGCTTGGGACAACAATTACGATGTGGCCGTTCTCGTCTCCTCCGAACCGCATTTCATCCTGTTGTTAGTCCTGGAGACGAAGGCAATAAGAGTTGATTCACGGTGCTTTTCCGCCACAAAGGCTTCCGAGCTTTACCAAGGCTTGCTGGGGCAGCATCGGCATACCCAACATAAGCGAAAATTTTCGGCGCTCCTGATGAAGGAGCCCAGTTGTCATTCCGAATTTGAGTGACCCATCCATGTTATTCTCGCTAACCGGGCCCGCCGGAATTCGACGAAGGCGGGAATGCCGGACGACACTCTTGCTATACTTGAGCTTGGAACGATTCATGGCGCAGTTAACGCGAAATGCTATAATCAGCGCCCTCGTTTCCTGTCTCTCAGGCAAGTGTTCCCGATACTTGCTCCTCTACATCGGACTCATCATCCTCACCGCCTGCGGAAGCTCACCCGGGCAGGGCACGGAGGAGATCCGCATCTTCGGCATGCGAGTGGAGGTGAACATGGAGGATCCCGGCAAGAGCGGCGAGTACGTGTACGACCCCGCCGAGCTCACCTTCGAGCGGGCGAACAGGTGCGCTCGTCATTACGGGTCGAGTGGAGAGTTCCCATAATCCACCGTCCCCCGACCTCGAAATCGACGTTCACGTCGACGCTTGGAAGTCGAAGGCCCTGACCTACACCTTCGACATGCCGGGAACGTATGAACTGGTGTGCATACCGCACGAGACGCTGGGTATGACAGGGGTCATCACCGTGCGGGTAGAGAGTGGGGGTCGCTGGGACTAATGAGGCGAAAGCTCAAGACCGCGCTGGCGCTCGTCGGCCTGAGCGTCGTCGTGATAGCGGCGTGAGCTGGTCGGTCGTGTCGCCGCGGCCGTCTACGGATAGGTACTTCGTCCCTCCGGGTCCACCTTCTCGCCGATTACTCTCGGTCCCGAGTCTGCCGGCTACTACTTGGCGTCGACTACGATCCCCGAGCTGCTCGAAGAGGTGCGAAGAGCGACCGCGCCGTGTATGAGCGTACACACCATCTTGACGCGCGACCCGTACAGGGCACACAACCCACTATTGACATAACCGGGGTCACGGCCGCACGGTCGTCAACTCCACCATCGAGGACGCCCCGACATCTGGATGTTCGGAGGCTCCGCGGCGGGGCGTCTGCGCCCCGACCTACGCTACCATCCCCAGCCACATGGCCGCCCTGCTCAACGGCACCCTCAGCATCGACGCCCAGGTTAGGACCTCGGAAGACGCGCTTCGTGTCCAACTCAAGAAGTCATCACCTCATGCGGGGAGCTTCAGGCCGGTCGCAGACCGGACATCGTGGTCTTCTACAACGGTGTGAACGATGCCGCGGCGGTATCTCTCTGGCCGGAGTTCCCCGGCGCTCACGTGTCGTTCGACACCGTCCGCGACCGTTCGATCGAACGTCGAGACGACGATATCCGGATTGTTCGCGCCCTCGACCGGACTCTACAAGGCGTTCGGATCGTCCTCGACCGCGACGGCGCGTCGAAACCGACCCCTTCGAGCGGGACGGCATCAATCGTCTACGCCGACCGCGACACCGACTCGACGCCGAACTACCGCTGGCTCGCGGAGCGGGGCATCGACCTCTGGCTCTTCAACGCCCGCGTCATCGACGGCTTGGCCCGGACCTACGGGTTCATACCCCTGATGGCGTTCCAGCCCGGACTATGGTCGACCGAAAAGCTGCTCTGCTTTGACCCCGCCTAGGAATCGCCTATCGTGTCCCGAGATGGAGTACGGCCGGGCTCAAAAACGATCAGTGACCGTCCCGCGCCGAGATGCTGCTGTCCTCGATGAGAGGCTCTCGGACCCTCAGGCCCCCCGTTGGGATCGTTTAACCCTGGACGACCTTTTCGCCCGAAACGTCGAGCCGGTCTCATCGACTACTACACGTTACCGTTCGGGCAACGAGATCGCCTCCAGGCGGGTCCGCCACAGAGCTGCAGAGCGGGTTATGCGACCGACCGAACATGCATCTGTACGAAAACACTTCTCCCGCCACTCGATGCAGGATGCCGCGATGGTCGGCGCTAGTATTCCGACATCTTTGAATGACGGCAGCATTGCGCTGGATTTGCGGTCTACAACGACAGGGCGGGTTTCAAACCCGCCCCTACCAAGTCATAGCTTCGTCACCCTTCAATACTATGGTGTTGAACCACTAGGTAAACTACCGCAACCAGCGAGCGTATCATCATTGACATTACGGCGGTCAGGCATCCTACCTAAACGGGGGGTTCCATCCACATGGTTTCGGGCAACGAATAACACTACTGAAACTTGCACAGATTTCAAGAGGTTTTCGGAAGAGACCTATATCGGCAGTTCACCGCTCTACGCGAGCCTGTCCAACGGCGTCGCCAACGACCTCGCGTGCTGGACAATCGCCTCAATCCGCTTTGGGCGCCTGTACCAAACCTGCTCTATTCGCAGCCGTTCACTACCTGCTTCTCAGTGGAGCAGACCGCATACTCTCATCCTTCTATGCCAGCCTGACACGCGATCCGCGCCCCAATAGCGACGCCTATCCGCACTTCCTCGAATCTTCCTGCCAACTAGTCCACATCACGGACCCTACTATCAACTCTTCGGTTTCAACCAACGAGGTAGCCGGTGCGCCTACCTCTACCGGCCTTCTCGCTCATCACCGACGAAAACCAAGGACTCCCGTGTCCTCTCGTGACACGTCACAACGCCGGAACTGCAATCTGCTCTGGGACCGGTACTCCTATGAATACACTGTGGTGTCGTCACCGGCGAGAGTCTTCCCCGGTGGGAATAGTGGCCGAGGTTCGCGGTAGTAACAGTCCACCGATTCCAAGCAGCTTCCCCTCCGTGGCGTTCCGTATCGGTCTTGACCTGAATCCGGTACGTCTCACCGACCCGGACGCGGCGCTGTGGTGAGTGGGGCGCTTATAGTGTGTCCGAGCAGACGAAACAAAACGACGTCGGGGCCCAACTGCCACTCAAGGTACGGCCATAGGCCTCGCCATCGACAACCCTCCGACGCTGATTGCAGGAGACGCGCTCGAGACGCTGCCGGTCGTCCTCGATCGGATACCCCTAGACACAACCCTCTGCATCTTCCACAACTACACCCTCAACCAGTTCTCGCGAGAGGACCGTAGTAGATTGACGCCATACTGGATGAATGTTCGATGGGCAGAGACGTGCTCTTACTCTCAGCAGAAGGACGTTGGGGACGGAATTTCGCCACGCTGGAGTTAGTCACGATCAGGCGCGGCAGCAGGTCGAGCCGGAGCTGGCGAACGTCGACTTCCACGGCAAATGGTTGGAGTGGACTGCCTGAGCCCAACATTTAACGCTGATCCGGCCATATCAGGCGGAACGCAGGTTCATCTGATAGTTTTTCCCAAGCAAGTTAGACGAGAACCTTATCAAGTGGTAGTATGCGCCATGCACCCACGTTCGTAGATTGAGCATATGGAGAAAATACCTCGGGGGATGGAACGCAGCTCGCCTGGAGATCCTTTTAATTAAGGACATGAGGAGGGAGAACCCATGAAGGCGCCAAACATCGTCAACCGCAGGAACCTGTCATTTATCGTAGGAGCAATCATTCTCGTTCTTTTCGCATCGGCGTGTCCGGCCCAGGACAGCCCGATTGCCATTGGAGAACGCGCGACGGCCGTGCCGCCCACCATAGACCCGGCCGCGGCCGCATCGAGCGGCGAACAGTCGGGCGAGGCGACCCCGGCCGTCGTCGGAACCTTCACCCCGCTCCCGACGCTCGAACCCAAGGCCGCGGTGGCCACCGTGGAAGCGCGGCAGGAAGAGCACTTGGCCTCGCTGTTCGCGCCGTCCGTGGGCGCGCTAAAGTTCGCCGAGTGGGACGACAGCTCCAGTTCTCCAACGCCCTGCTCGGATACATTCTGGTCTACGGCTTCGACTTCCAGGTCGAGTTGGTCCAGCTTGAGGGGGAGGCATACCAGGAAGCATTCCAGAAGGTGAGTGTTGGACGCCGTGCTGATGCTGGACAAGGACGGGGCGGGCGGCTGGTACACGACCCACATCGACGGCCAGGCGATCACCGACTTGGGCTCCGTGCGCGACGGCGACGGGAACATTCGCATCGTCGTGCATTCCGGCCTGAGCGAGCGAGCGCCGGAGGTGACCGACTTCCTTACGAAGGCCAGGCCGACGGACGCCCTGATCGACGAGCTCTCGGCGCTGATTCGTGGAGGCCGTATCGGGATCAAGCCGACCACCCAGGCGATCAAGTTCCTGAAAAACCACGAGAACATCTGGAGCAGGTGGCTTCCGACGGAGGGTGCCGAAAAGGTGAAGGCCGCAATCGAGTCGGGGAAGACGAGCCTCGTCAACCGCAAGTGCATTCCCGACGGCGGTTCGGGCGCCGGCAGCCCCAACTGCGGCACCTAGCGTCTTTCTAAACCGGCGTGTCTAGCTTGTGCGTTGTCCACACAATCGGCAGGGCATGAGGGAAGACCAACGGGAGGAGACTGATGGCAGTGCGCCAACTGTAGCGGTGAGAACTCCCGGGGGAGCAACTTTTGCATCCACTGCGGCAAGGCGCTCGTTAGTGACGGCACGGGCGCTGACGCGCCGGACACGCCAGATACCCAAGGCGGCAGCGGCAGTATTGACTCCAGGGTTCAAAACTCAACCTCCGCCTATCGTCTTGGAAGCGCGGCTGGCGAACCTCGAACGACGGCTGGGCGTATCCAGTACAAGCAGATCTCCCTCTCCGGCCAGAACGGCTGCGAGTGATACGGCAGTCCAAGCACGCCCTCCGCAGCGGCCTCAACGCCCGCCTGCCGTCGCACCGGCTCAGGCGCTGAGTGAAGAGACGGTAGCCGTCTCCGAGCCGTTTGTACCGGAGCCCAGGGAGGCCGTCGACTGGGAGCAGGTAATCGGTGGCAACTGGCTGGCAAGAGTCGGCGTTCTCGCACTTATTCTCGGCGTCGCCTTCTTTCTGAAGCTGGCGTTTGACAACGACTGGATCGGCCCAACCGGACGCGTAGCCCTCGGTGCTGTCGGTGGCTTGGCCATGTTGGTGGCAGGCGAATTCTGGCAAAAGCGGTACCCCGGCTATGCCCGCGCCCTCAGTGGCGGCGGGGTCGGGCTCTTGTATCTCTCCACCTATGCCGCCTCGCGATTTTCGACCTGATCGACATCTACCCCGCCGTTGTCCTCCTACTCATCGAGAGTGTTGTCTCCGCCGTCTTGGCGCTCCGTTATGAGTCGAACGCTTTGGCGATCATCGGTGTTGCCGGGGCCTTCTGCGCCCCATTCGTGCTGGGAGCCTCCGATCTGGAAGGGCGGGCCTCCTCCTCTTCCGATGGAGCGGGCTACGACCTCATCGCCTACGTGCTTGCGGTGGACGTGGGAGTCCTCGTCCTCTCTACCTTTAGAAGATGGTACTGGTTCCGGCTCACCGCGCTGCTGGCGTCTTTGGCATCCTATGGCATTTGGTATATAGAGTTCGGAGACGCTGCGGGCGCTTTGGGAGCTGAGATAGCCTTAACGTGCATCTTCCTCGTCTTCGTGGGCGTAACCACCTTCTTCCACCTGATATGGGTTCGCGGCCCCGGGACATTAGACCTGTCCTTGATGACCTTCAATGCAACCGCTTACTTTGCCATAAGCTATGCATTGCTCTTCAATGAGTATAGGGACTGGATGGGAGGCTTCTCCCTCGCCATAGCCGTGTTCTACCTGGGAATGGCGTACATCGCCCTCAGACGAAGCCCAGAAAACGCCCGCCTGAGCCTGTTCGCCTTCGGCATCGGAGTAATTTTCCTAACCATCGCCATACCCGTTCAGCTTGATGACATGGCGTGGACTACGGTCGGCTGGGCCACTCAGGGTACCGTCTTGATCTGGTTATCCTTCGCGATGAAGTCCCACGCGCCCCGATTCTTTGGCTACGGACTCTTCGCGCTAGTGGCCGTCAAGCTCCTCTCCTTTGATACTCTAATCAGCGTTTCGGATGATGATCCGGTGCTCAATTTGCGATTTCTCGCCTTCTCGGTAAGCATCGCGGCGCTCTATCTCTGCGCCTTCGCTGTTTGGAGAAACGACGGGCGGCTGATTGAGTACGAGCGCCGCGCTTGGTCGGTCTACCCGATTCTCGTTATCGCGGCCAACTTTCTCACCCTCTGGATATTCACCGCTGAGGTAATGGACTTCTTCGACCAGAGGCTGGTGACCGTCGGCTGGGCAATTTATAGCGCCCTCCTGGTCTGGATATCCTTCATGTTGAAGTCCCACTCGATCAGATTCTTTGCCTACGGCGTTTTCGCGCTCACGGCGCTTAAGCTCCTCTATGAAGACACACCAGTTGAAGCCCTGACCCATGATCCCGTCCTCAACCTGCGAGTCCTCGCGTTCTCGGTCAGCATCGTCGCTTTGAGCTTCTCCGCTTTTCCTCATCTGGAAAAGCCCTCAAAGATTAACGACCTATGAGCGCGACTCTTGGGCTGTGTACCCGATCATGATTGGACTGGCCAATTTCTGGACTATCTGGATACTTACCGCCGAGGTGCTGGACTACTTCAATCACAACATAGCCACCGTGAGATTCATGGAGGGGAGCAGAGCGGAGATTCAAGCCATGGAGAACGCCCAGAACCTGTCGCTTACCGTTCTTTGGGCCGTATATGCCTTGGTCTTGCTCGCGGTGGGCATCATAGGTAAGCTGCGAGCAGTACGGCTGGCGGGGTTGGCGCTGCTCACCATACCGGTGGCCAAGGTCTTCGTATACGACGTCTTCCAATTGGAGCAGGCTTACCGAGTTGCCGCCTTCATAGGACTCGGTGCGCTCCTTCTCATAGGCGGATATCTCTATCAGAGGTTCGGACGCGCAATCAAGGGAGTTCGTCACCGAATGATGTATTCTTTCGAGGACTGCTCATTCGGGCTCAAAGCAGTGACCGCGCCGTATCGGTTTGGCATAATAGGGATTCCCATGGCGGTTGGCGGAATGTTTCATTCCGCCTCAAGGAACGGAGGCGGGTATGGCGACTCGCGTGCTTGAACTGATCGAGGACAGCTGGATGCGGGCGGCAGCGTCTCGCTGCCCGCGACCAACCGGGTCGTCTACGTCGTCGAGGGCGAGGCCGAGGCGCAGTCGGACGGTCACGACGGAGCGAATCACTCCGAATGAGGCGCGGCACTATCAGGCGGCGTCGGCCTGCAGGCCGGCGATGGCGGCGCAAGGACTGTGGCGATGGGGCAACTGACACCCACGTCTAAGAAGGGCCGGCGGAAGCGCGTCCCAGAACCAAGCTCCGCGCGGCGATAGCCCATCGACGAGGACGCCGAGTACCTCATGCGGTGCGACCGCGTTGACTTCCCGCTCGGCGGCATCGCCTACACCCACACCCACCAGGGGCCGGGAATCCGCTGCCTGTACATGGGCGAGTTCGACGTGACGGTGGACGGTCAGACGAAGCACCTGCATCCCGGCGGGGCCTGGTTCGAGGCGGGGCCCGACCCCGTCTACGCCGAGGCGTCCAAGACCGAGCTTACCGCGTTCATCCGAGTGATGATCCTGCCGCGTCGGCTCCTGGGCCAAAGCTCGATCCGCTACGTCAAGAAAGAGGACGCCGACAAGCCCAAGACTCAGACCTACTCCGTGTTTGTTGATGAACCGATCGAGGTCTGAGGCACGAACCGTTCAGCGAGGATGACGATTGGCTAACAACGATTTCGTAGGCGCGCTCTACACCTATCCCTGGGACCTGGTCGACGATGGGGTGGATGCTGCGCTCGACAGGATCGTCGACCTGACGGGATGCTCGGAGATCCAGCTCGCGCCCAGCTATCACGTCTCGAACTACTTCCTCCCGCATAACCCGAAGTCCCCAATACGCTTCGGCGAGAACGGCGCGGTCTTCTTCACCCCGGAGCTATCGCGCTACGAGGCCACTGAGATCAAGCCCCATGTCAGCGGGTGCGTGACGACGCCCGACTACTTCGAGCGCCTCGTCGACGCCATCAACCGCAGGGGCCTCGTATTCTCCGCTTGGAACGTCTACTTCTTTAACCACCACCTCTCGGAGAAGCACCCGCAGTTCGCCAAGCACGACGTGTTCGGGACACCGTATGTCGGTCAGCTCAGCCCGTCATCGAAGGACGCCCAGGAGTTCGCCGTCGCGCTCACGCAAGAGGTCATGGACCGTTTCAAGCCGCACGCCGTCCGCATCGAGGCGCTGCAGCGCCAGATGTGGCGTCACGGGATGCTCAAGAACAAGTTTCAGGGCGACATCTCGGAGCGGTGCCAGTTCCTTCTCGGCGTCTGCTTCAATCCCGCCTCCATGCAAAACGCCGAGGAAGCGGGCATGGACGCGGCCGGCTTCCGAAGAGAGGTGGACGCCTGGCTGCGCGCCGAACTCGCGAGGATTCCGACGGAGCGGGAGCTTAGTGAGCCGGCAGACGCGGAGTGGATCGCGGGGGCGTTCGACGGTCGCCTGAGGCAGTATCTCGACATCTTGAACGCGCACACGACCGGCCTGTGGCTGCGCGTCGCCGAGGGTCATCAAGAAGGGCGGAGGCAAGGTGCAGTCGGACTATCTTGCCCATGGTATCAGGACCGACACGAACGGCCTGGAGCCCTCGCATCAACAAGCAGATCGACCGTCTCACGGCAGGGCTGCCCGCGATCGAGGACGACGCAAAAGCGCAAATGCGGGAGTACTTGGACATGATCGCGCCGGGGGGCGAGGTGTTCGTGCCCGTTGGCCCCGGCAACATCACCGAGGCCGCGCCGCTTGTGGAGCGAACGAGAGCGGCAGCGGAGGCGGGCGCGGCGGGCGCGCTGTTCTACAACTACGGCCTCATGCGCGAGGAGGTGCTAGGCTTCGTCGGCGAGGCGCTGAGGAGTGTCCCGCGCGGGGATGCGGGAACGGCGTAGCCGAAGGGCTACTGCTCCTCCGCCACGTCCAAGTTCAGCAGGAACGGTTGCCCTCCCCGACGCCCTCGAGGATCTCGACCTCGTGGACATACATGTCGTGGCTGTCGACGAGAACGGTCGTGCCCGTCGTCTCTACGGCCATGCCGCTCGGCGAGGTGAATTTCTTGCCTGCTTCCACAGCCTCGGTCTCTGCGTATCCCATCCATTCCTCTCTTTCCTTTAGAAGGTGTATAAAAGAACGCGCTGATAAGTCAGGGGCTACAAGGGTGTTGACAATCGGAGCAGGTAGCCTTCGTTGACGGGTTTATAGTGTGTCGGCGAGCCTAACCGCATACATTCGGACCTCTAACCCATACGGTCAATGACATATGCTCATCTATTTCTATAGCTACTACAGACTGAAACCAAGTAAACCCCTCTGCAGCATTCGTCGCAACGTACTCACAGCCTTTCCACCGCACATAAACCGCATCTTCGACTACGCTCCACATCGCGGACTGATGACTGCGAGTCGCATCCTCACAATTCCCACCAAAGAGCGAGATACACTCATCTAAATTCCGAGCAGGTGAAAATCGCCCCCCAAGCTCCTGCAAACTCAAGACCCGCACCTTATCATCCTCAACGCCGCTCGGAGCCTCTACAGTAGGAAACTCGATTCCCTGTATATCGCCCCGCGGACAACCAAGTAGTAACAATAATAGGGTCGCCTGCATTCCGAAGGCGCAGTACGTTATAAGCTTGAGAAAGAATTTCATTCCGAGATTCTTCCCTTACTTACCTTTGTTTGCCGATGCCCGCTCCAACCGCTACCAGTCCGAGAAAGCCGTCGATGCCCCTGCCTACTAAGAATCCCGCTATGCGCACTTCAGTAGCCCAAGTGAGACCTACGCCTAAAGAAAATCCGTTCACCCCCGTATCGGGTAAGGGGCAGGCTCTGAGCCTGTCGAAGGGTCGAATCCCCCTTCATGGTTCGACAAGCTCACCACGAACTGTTTCGGCGACTCATTAGACACCCTCTTAGCATCCCCTGTCTATGATCGGTCCCGCGCCCGCAGGCCGACTGCCCAAGCCACCCCGGTCAGCGCCGCGATGAGGCCGAACCGGCTTAGCGCGGAATTGGACAGGGCACCTCCAACGATGAAGAGCGCCACTCCCACGAGAGCGAGAATCCACGCCGTGCGTTCAAGGGTTATCTTCATGATCGCCTCAACATGATACCAGTCCTCGCGGCATTGGAGTACGGTTCTCCGATGACGCGCTCCCTCAACCCGTGTAGAATAAGCGACCATCCACCACCCCAAGGAGGGAACCTATGACTTCCAAGCCAACGATGATGTTCTACCATGACGGGCGGCACCCGCTCATCTACATGTACGAGCCACCGATGCAGGTGGAAGAGTACCAGCAGGCCGTCGACGAGTTGATCGGGACTCCCATTCAGGCGATCAACTTCTGCATGGGCGACGGTCGCACTGTCCTCCACGACACGAAGGTCGGCGAGCTGTGGGGCGACAACCAGGACCGCTGGGCGCACACCATCTTCCGGCGGGCGCACCAGAACGCCAAGCACCTAATCGAAACGGGCAACGACCCCCTGAAAATAGTAGCCGACCGCGCCCACGAGAAGGGCTTCGCGTTCAACCCCGTGCTGCTGGTGCAGCAGGGCAGCGGAGACCCTGAAAACGACACTCGCGGCTCCACGTTCCGGTTTACGCACAAGCACCTCGATATCGGCGCTGCCGGGGACGTGCCGGAGAGTTTCAAGGGGTTCCAAAACGCCGACTTCAAGCACGACGAGATTCGGGACGAGCGGTTCGCCCTCATCGAAGAGACCCTGCAGAACTACGACTGCGACGGATTCGAGCTTCAGATGAACTACCAGCCCACCTACTTCCACCCGAACGAGGTAGAGGCGGGCATCCCCATCATGACCGACTGGATTCGACGGGTCTCCGAGGCCGTCAAGGCGAGCGGCGCCGACAGGGAGCTGATCGTGCGCATACCGGCCAGCGTCAAGGGCTGTCTCTCGATCGGCATGGACGTCATAGACTGGATTGAGCAGGGCCTCGTAGACGTGATAATCGCGCAGGACTTCTCCGGCCCGGAGCTGCTGTCGGGCATGTCCAACTTCCGCGAGCTGGTCGAGGCGACCGAGGACAAGGACACCCGGCGTCCTCGCCGCCATCCAGAGCAACGCCGATACCGACCGCGTCGGGCAGGGCACGATCGAGATGATCCGCGCCGTCGCGACCAACTACTGGATGCAGGGCGTCGACGGGCTGTACCTCGCCCACTGGTTCGGCAACTGGCCCTACAAGGCCGACTTCTACGAAAAGCTCAGGGAGATCCCCTACCCGGAGGTCATGGATACGAAGGACAAGATCTACTCGCTGCCGACGATCTCCGAGCGCTACCAGAACCCGGACACGGAGCCGGGCCTGTCGATGCAGCTCACTCGCGACCTGCACGAGGGCGAGACCGAGCAGTTCACTCTCATCATCTCCGACGACCTGCCCAAATGGGACGCGGTTGGCCGTATCCACAAGGTGCTGCTCCGCATCCGCATCATGGGGATGACCGAGCTCGACGAGATCAGCTTCAAACTGAACGGCAAGTCGCTGCCCGACTCCTCCCTCCGCAAGATCAACGCCCTCTACCGCATGAGCGCCCCGAGGTACCGCGTCGGCTCAGGCTACTGGTTCATCTACGACCTTGATGAGGAAGACTGGCCGGTCCGCGGCGACAACACCCTCGAAATCACCCACGACGTGGTCGACAAGGTCCCACTGGAGCAGACCCTCGTCCGAGACGTCGAGCTTGACGTGCGCTACCTGATGGGCAAGAACTACCACCGCAGCCTCGTCGACGACGAGCTCGGCCCACACGAGATAACTTCGGAGTAAGGGACGACGTTCACACCCCCTCTCTGAATCTCTCCCCCGTAGGGGTGAGACCGGATGAAATATGAAAAGGCCCCGCTCGCATGAGCGGGGCCTTCCGTTTGCCTAGCTTACTCCCTCGATACGACTACTTGCTGTCGTCGAAGAAGAAGTCGGGGTCGAGGAAGCTCACGCTGCGGTAGAGGTTCGAGCGGTTCCCCGGTGGTTGAGGTTGTCCTCGCCGTCCTCGAACGAGTAGTTAAAGCCTGCGAATCCGAAGATGTCGCGGATGTGGGTCTTGGGAACTTCCGCATGTTGTTCCGCTTGAACACGATGCCGCGCGCCACGCCCGTGAAGCCACGGTTGGAATGTTGAATATCTGCTCGGCCACGTTCCGGTAGATCATTTACCGGCCTCGGCTCGCTCGGGAGAGAACTGCGGGTACTGCCGCCCCTGGAGCCATAGCTCGGCGTTCTCCTGAAGCTTCCCTGTCGGATCCGCCGCAAAATTCCCGGAAGGAGCCAGCGGCAGGAAGTTCGGATCGGGTCCGGGGGCCATGCCCTCAGCGCCCGACGTTTCGTACCACCTCGCTATGTGATGCCCGGTTGGGTGGTTGCAGCACAACGGCGAGAGTTCGCCTCCCTCCAACATCCACGGATTATAGTTATACGACGAGGCCGTGAACGAGAGGTACTGTTCACCCTGCCTACCGCGGTTTGACCCGGTTCGGATGGCCAACTCGATCCCGACCTCTCCTAGTTGTTGCCATAGCAGCTCCAAAACTGTGGCGTTAGCCGGATTCTGGTCTACGAACAAGAGACTAAACCGGGTACCGTCGGGCCTCAACCTGAAACCCTCGTCGTCCCTTGCCGATAGTCCTAGGTCGTCCAACAGGCGGTTCGACCGTGCGGTGTCGCGTTGCGTGTAGAGGTCGCGGACATCGTCGCCCGGGTAGAACGGGTTGTCGGGCCGCGGCACGAAGTTCTGAATGGCGCCGAGTCCGAGGAACGAAGTATCGTTGATGGCGCTGCGGTCGATCGCGTACGAAATGGCCTCACGGAACTCGTGCGTGCGGATCAGCTCGCCGATGTATGGGTCGTCGTTCCATGTCTGCTGCAAGCCGATGCCGGCGTCGTTCCCGCCGAACGACGGCCACCGGTAGACACTGTAATCGCCCCTCTCCATGCTGTTGATGTAAAGCGGCACGTTGCGCAAGAGGTTATTGTAAGTGATTGGCTGGTCGTTCTCGCCCGACATCTTGCGGAAAACCGCAACGTCGTTGCTCTCGTTCTGGTACATCCAGACGCCGTCGAGATAGGGAAGCTGGTTGCCCTCGGGGTCGAATGCCCACGAGTATGGTTGCGGGCCAGCTTGCCGATCTCTTTGCCCTGGGCATTCTCGTCGCCGACTCCGCCTACGCACATGATTCTCGCGCACGGCGTGTCGGCGCGAGACATGTCGTATGTTCGATATCCCCACCAACTTCCAAAGGCCTCGTGGCCGTCCGCAGCCATCATCTGGTCGACCGCGGCCTGTCCGACGATCTCCGGCATGAACTGCGAGACGTGGTGCTTTGGGGTGAACCAGCAGTATCCATTCACCGTGCAGATTGATCCCCTGTTCGTCCGCGCCTCCATGATGTTGTACACCGGAGAGTCGAACGTGAGGGTGAAGTTGAGGTCGTCCACTTTGTCCCAACGGACGGGGTTGTCGGTGACGGGGTCCCGCCATCTGACGGGGACGCTGGGCTGGTATCGCGGCTCTTTGAGCGCCGTCCATGCCCACTCGACGTCGTCCATCGTAAACGGCACGCCGTCCGACCACCGGAGGCCCTCCCGCAATCTAAACGTAAGAGTTCTGCCGTCATCGCTCCATCCCCAGTCCCTGCCGACGAAGGGGCGCCACGTAAAGCCGTCCGCCTCACGTTCGCCAAAGTTGGACAGTGCCTGCTCAGACAGGAAGGTGAACGTCGTGCTTAGACGGCTTATGCCTCCATACACTCCGATCTGGTCGGGGGGCTGGGAATACATGCGGTCTTCCGGCACGGGTACCCGGTCTTCCAGCGGCTGGATCACGCCCTGTTTGACCAAGTCAGCCGACATCGGAGACTCGAAGAACTTGGTGGGCATGGGGCCCGCGTAGTGCCAGACGGGGAAGTCTCCCGGAGTAACTACCGGAGGCTCCCACGTATGAGGGCTTGCCTCAGGGCACGAGGTCACCTGCTGTCCCTCGATGTAGCACGTGGCCGGTATATTCGGCCTGGCCTCCCGGGCCGCCGCCGGTGGTGGAGGCGGAGCCGGGGCAGCAGGGGCCTGCTGGATGATTGAGGGAGCCGCGGCAGGCGCGGGCGCCGGCGCGGGCGCCGGGGCCGGAGCTGCCGCAGGTGCGGGAGCGGGAGCGGGAGCCGCGGCAGGCGCGGGGGCCGCAGTATCCGTGTCTCCATCGTCGCTGCCGCCACAAGCGAACAGCCCGAGGGACAAAACGAGTAGCACTACAATGATTCCGATCATGTTACGTCTTCGCATGGGTTCCTATCCTTTCTGGACACTCAATCCGAACCAACTAGCCGAACTGCAATCCAATACAGAACTCTACGTGCACAACTCGAACGATAATGGGAACTATATACAGTTACGCGGATATGCACAAGGCTCATGGATCAGGCACAACGGCAATCGCATCACAGTCTTCTGACACGCTTGGAAGCGCCTCCACCCCATAATACTGTGAACTAATACCAATTCGTTCTGACTACGCCGCCAATCGGTCCGACTAACCCTTGGCGCCATGAAGGCTGGTGCCAATCCCTAAGCTCGGCTTTGTACAAAACTTAGAAAAGAACAGGGTAGGCTGACAAGACCCCAACCGTCACGAAAGTGTCAAGTCATGCTCACCCTGCACGCTGCCGTTGTATCCTTACTCCATCCGTTCGCGCGGCCGCCCGGATGTTTCAGGCCGGACCATGGTCCGAAAGTGCAGTGTTGCATCGTCAGCGCCAGTCTGGCCACGCGCAACAGGACCGTCACCTGTGGTTTGCTTCTGGGACTTTCTGCATGTCGTCGCAGAAACCCGACATGCGAGAAAGAAATCCCAAGCCCGTCGCTCCCACAGATCCTGGAATCGCTCTCACCTACGCGCGACTAGTGAATGTTCAATGTCGAGCTAAGAGAGTGTCCAAGAGACTCCCTTGAGCGTGAGCTTTTCGAAGGGCGTTCTGAATTAAGTGGCAATCCTACAGTTAGGGCACCGGCGCCAAGTGAAAAGCATTGTCGGACCATCTCGGCACTTTCGACGTATGAGAACATGTGCACACTATAATATGGGCGTCGCTGGAACGGTTTCGGTCCGGCGAGCCCGGACCCGTAAAACCATGCGAGACAAATTGAGAACGCAGCACAAAACATCGATCATGCGGAAAGTCTCAAACCGTCTCACGACCGCATCGTACGACGTGAGCGCGTGGCCGGAACAGGTTCAACCGTCCCCTCAGGACGGGCGAAAAGGCGAGGCGAGACAATATGAGAACACAGAGAAAAGGGTCGGTCCAGGGAGGTGTAGTCACCACACTGATCTCACTCCCGTCTACAAGTTGTTTCATCACACACGCTCAGAGAGTGCCAAAAGGAATCCGTCCACCCCCGTATCGGGTACGGGGCAGGCTCTGAGCCTGTCGACGAGCCGATGCGCCGATTATGGTTTGACAAGCGCACCGCGAACGGTTTTGGCGACCAATTGGAAACCCCTAAGGGTCGGGGTGCTCGATACGGAGCGAGTCCGGCCGGCCGGAAGAGCATCTCGTAGCCCAAGTACCGCTCCCGGAAGCCGCGCCTGACGTAGAGGGACCGGGCAGGCTCATTCTCCCATCCGGTGTCGATGTAGAGAGCGTTGGCCCCGCTCGCGCGGGCGGCCTCCTCAGCGAACGCCATCATCTGCGACCCGATGCCGCGCCTACGGAACTCCGGCGCGACGGCGAGGTCGTCCACGTCCGCGCGAGTGAAGTCGTACCCGGCCACGTCGGTGAACCTGACCCACACGAACCCGGCCGGTCCGCCATCGACCTCCCAAATCTCGGCAACGGTGCGGGGATTTTTCAGTGATTTGGTCAGGGACGCGAGGAACTCTTCCGGCTGGGGCGTCGTCAGCCAGTGATCGCGGAACTGCTCGTATGTGGTGGACGATGTGAGCCACGGGCTCGCGACAGCGTAGTTCGCTTGGCTGTGGAGCTCGAAGAGTGTGTCGGCGTCACGCTCAACGTCGACGCGGCGGTGCGTTATCATAGTGCCATCATACACCCACGCCCTTTTCGGGAGGGGCAGGTAGAGGATGGCTCTGAGAACGATCAAGTACGACGTGGCGGTGATCGGCGGGGCATCATCGGCCTTGCGACGGCGATGACGCTTGCGCGGAGGCATCCCGACCTTAGGTTCGCCGTGCTGGAGAAAGAGGGCGAGATCGCCCAGCACCAGACGGGGCATAACAGCGGCGTCATCCACGCGGGGATCTACTATGCGCCGGGCTCCCAGAAGGCGGGCTTCTGCTACACGGGCAACCTGGAACTCCGCAAATACTGCGACGAGCGCGGGATCGACTACGAGATGTGCGGCAAGGTGATCGTCGCCACGGACGAGTCGGAGGTCTCGCGGTTGCACTGACCTGTTCGAGCGCGGCAAGGCGAATGGCGTGGAACGGCTCGAACTCATTGGCCGCGAGCGCCTTCGGGAGATCGAGCCGCACGCGGCTGGGGTCAAGGCCATCTGGTCGCCGGAGACGGGCATCGTCGACTACCGGCGCGTGTGCAGAGCGTACGCGACCGACTTCGGGGAGATGGGCGGGGAGCTACGGCTGAACACCCGCGTAGAGCACGTCGCGAGGCGCGGCAACACAGTGAACATCGACACCGACCAGGGCAGCATCGCGGCGTTGGGCGTCGTCAACTGCGCGGGGCTTCAGGCCGACATGGTCGCCCGTGACATGGGCGAAAGCGTGGGACTGCGCATCGTCCCGTTCCGTGGGGAGTATTTTTCGCTTAGGCCGGAGAAGGAACGCCTCGTGAACGGGCTGATCTACCCCGTGCCGGACCCGAAGCTGCCCTTCCTCGGCGTGCACTTTACGAAGCGGGTCGACGGCAGCGTCGAGGCCGGGCCGAACGCCGTGCTGTCCCTTGCGCGCGAGGGCTACGAGAAGACTTCGTTCCGTGTGGGCGAGGCCCTCGACATCGCCACGCATCCCGGCTTTTGGCGCATGTCGATGACCCACTGGAGGATGGGCATGAAGGAGCAGTACCGCTCGATGTTCAAATCGTCGTTCGTCAGCTCGCTGCAGAAGCTCGTGCCGGAGGTCCAGCCGGAGGACGTGTGGCGACCGAGCGCCGGAGTGCGCGCCCAGGCGATCGACGACAACGGCGGCCTGCTGCAGGACTTCCGAATCGTCCAGGGCGACAGGGCCGTTCACGTCCTCAACGCCCCGTCCCCCGCCGCCACGTCCAGCCTCCCTATCAGCCGTCACATCGCAAGCATCGCCACCGTCGCCTTCGAGCTATAGCTCGGCGGCCCGCCACGGAAATGGCGGCGGAACCGTTGACTCGACTTACCCACCTCCGTCACTCCGCGAAGGCGGGAGTCTAATACGCTGAGGTATGAATTCCCGTGTGCGCCGGAATGATGGTAGACAAGTGAGGAACCAGCTGCGAAGCCTTACGCTTCATTCGATAGTGACAGAACCGTAGACTCAAACGGCGGGGATTGGTATATTTGAAAGGCAAGCGGGAGTAACTCAGTCTGGTAGAGTTCCTGCCTTCCAAGCAGGCTGTCGCGGGTTCGAGTCCCGTCTCCCGTCCATCAAAGCCTCTTTTTCGGCGACAAAATTATGCCCGCGTTTGGAGAGTTGCGATGTTTGAAACCAACCCTGTACGGATCTCGATGCCCCCTCGACGAAAGTGAAGGAAAGGCCGTGACAACTTCATGATTTTTCAAAGGGGGCTGCCCCGGTTTGGGATGACAACGAATCAAGGAACTCCTAGTCAGCATATCTCGTGGTTTTCCCATCGGGGCCGTGATGACGCTGTCCGCAGGCGGAGAAGATAGGTAAAGCGCGGGCCATCGAAGGGGTGGATGCGCTCTAAACATTGACTCCCCGAGTAAGTTCTGCTAGACGGGAAGCAAGGCGAAGTCGCTTACCGTCCTGCCGATACCCAGGACCGGTCGATACCCAAGACAACCGCAACAAGAAGCTAAAAGCGGGTTGTACTACTCGAACATGAAGGCAAGCAGCAACCGACCCCAATATCGACCCCGAAGATATGGTGATAAGCGTACCGGAGAACCGCAAAACCACAAGGGACTTCGGACGAGAAGTTACCCTTGATCTTTCCACTCGGGAGGAGGAATTCAAAGAGCACAAGATTCCCACCGAGCAACTAATGGATATTACGAACCAATGGCTGATGGACTATCTTAGCTACTGGAATGCGTCGACAAACTGGACTGGTCCGGGTCTGAATGCCGCTGAGTTCTTCACCAAGTTTATGCACAACCATAGGAAGAGTCGGGACCTATCAGTACCGTGATCAAGCTCGGAGAGCAAACCCCAAAGGAAGCGGTGTGCGCCGTGTTCGAGAAGGTCAAAACTGGCGGCGTTGTTCTCAACGTCTTTGAGCTTGCCACCGCGTCATTTGCCGCGGACGCGGAGCATTTCTCGCTGCGAGACGATTGGGGTGAGCGAAAGACGATTATACACGGATTTATATTGGGAGTCTTCAGGCTCAAAGGGCAGCCCAAACGAGATGGTGGCATCATAGTCAGGTCCTGCAAGGCCAGTCAATCTCCGGTCTATCCGATAAGGGATGCGATTCTTGCCGTGAACCATGCTTCTTGTCCGTCTTTGTCGTCTTCAGGTCCCCCGCCAATGGGGTGAAAGCGCATTGAAGACAAGCCGACTCCCTGGAGCGCTCTCCCTCTTGGCAAGATCGTGGTTGATACCCTCCCTCAGCTTGGCGCCGGCGATAACCGGCCGATACGATCCAACACTCCCTGGAACAACCGTCGAGGAACCGACACCTCGGACAACTGAAAGATCAATCGCCGGGAGTGCCGCACCAGACGGCCTCCCATCTTGATCAGCTTGACCTGCACGCTCCGCAGCGACCAGTGCTTGACCGCCTTGGGCAGACACAGCCGGCGAAGGAAGTTCCCAAGGTTGTACGCCAGAATGAACAGAGACAGACGCACCCGGTTGGCCACGAACCGATGGCACGACAGCCGAGTCCAGTTCAGGGCGTACTTCCCTCCTTGATCCACTGCTCGGCTGTCCCACGACCATTGTAGAATCGCACCACTCACCTCGGGGCCAGCCGTCATGTTCGTGACGATGAAGCCCACCGAGGGAACAGCTCTCCCCTATGCCACTCCACCTTGGCCACCACACGCCGAGCGCGTCCCAACTCTCAGCACGATACCAGAAGTCGTCGTATAGGATCACCGGACGTTTCGGCGGCCTCCCCACAGGTCGTATCAGCAGTGGAGCGATCTCGTATTGCAGCACTTTGTTGCTCGGCAGCCGTATGGCGTAGAAGACTCGCCGCTCCTCCAGGTACTCATAGATGTCCGGCTTGGCGAAGGCGGCATCGGCCCTGAAGTACCGGCGCACTCCCGTCCGCCCGTAGCGGGACAGGATCGGATCCATACATCACAGCCACCTGTGCGCGCTATGTACGTTCCCCGAGCGGAGCATCGCGCCCTCGCAGTCTCCGAAATGGGTTGAACACGAACAATGGGTGATAGCACGTGCTCCCAAAGTGACCGTTGATACGACGCTCCCTCCTGTTCTCCATGTACGGACTCTCCGAACTGTCCCATGTCCAAGATCACCAGCCGGTGCGGCGTGCGGGACATAGCTCCGTCCACCCACTCAGCGTTCAGTCGCGCCAACACCCTTCCACGTTGCCGTCTGGGTGAGCACCTCCGTCTCGAACCGGCTCATGGTGTTTGGTGTGGCGGCGGTCTGTTCATGCCTCGGTCTCCAACGACTACGCATCGTCGGATCGCGGCCACCGTTCAGCATCGTTGGATCCCGTAGCCTGCCAACTACTGTACAACGACTGCCTGAGAGGCACCAATCGGTGCTGC